CTTTCATTTGTTTCACCCACTGCAAACATTTTAAGTTAGAATGAAGCGTCTTAATGAATATTTAAGAAGTATACTGTAACTCCAGATGTCTACATAATGTATATGCTTGTGTGAGAGCGTGGGTCTTAGCTGTTGAGCAAATGTCTCTGTACTTGTGACCAATCAAAACTAACTCAAAGCCAGAAATGCTGTGAACCATCATAGTTTATATGGAGCAGACATACTACTGGGTAACATTAATGTATTCTCACAAGGCTCTTAAACCTGTCTTCATACCCATCACCTCTTTAGATTGGTTACATCTTTGTTTTTTTTACAGCATCCCCTGAATCCCCACCTATGTGTTGTCATTTAAGGATGATCTTAAGTTAGTATGTGATTGGGTAGATTCAAACTGGGGGATATTTTTTCTTAGTGTTTCATTTTACCTAAATAGAGAGCACTTCCACAGTTGAGCACTTGACTGTACCCTTCCTCTAAGTATATATGACTTGCTTGATGATTAATACAACTAACACATATATTGGAAAGAAAATTTAGGTTATTACAAAATGTTCACCATTTGAAAGTATTGATCACTAATCGAAACTAGCAAAATGACACCCTCTCTGTTCAATCCAAGTACACCTACATATGACATATTGTGTTGTGTATATAAAACAGAAAAGAAACCCCGGTGTGATATATCTCTTCTACTGGGTCAGTGACCCCTGGAGCTGTCGGTAATACACCCAGATACGCACAAAAAAGTGCAAACGCATCAAAATGTGTTTATGCTTCACATCAGCCACCATGACAGATCTGCAGGCAGACCATGGTGGTGACATGGCAAGTTTGTTTTTTTTTGTTTTTTTTCCAACAACAGTAACACACAGTCTTAGTCTGACCTGGAGAGGCACTCATATCAAGCAGCTATTCTTGTCTGCTGCTTTGTTCCTCAATCTCCCTTTGAGCCTGTCAGCAAGATATTTCTGCTTTGTCAGTCAGAAGTGTTTCATCAGTCCATCTGGGTGACCACTTGTCTTCTGTTGCATGTTTTAATTTGTCCTAGCATTGAAAGTCCCACCCTGTAGTACTCTCTCTCTCTCTCTCTCTCTTCTCATCTCATCCAGCTCACCAGCAGAACTTGTTCAATCAACAGCCTGTGAGATGAATGACATCTACAGAGGCTTGCCAGCAGACATGCATTTGTCTGCTGATTCTGTCTTAAATCAGGGTTCAGTGGAGGAGAGATGCTGGTTAACGTGACTGACTGACTGTGGTGTTCAGCCTAAAGTCAAACCATGAGCGGTTGATGAGGTTGAGTGAAGCAGTCATACTCATCATTAACGTGAGCAATTAATGTACAGTAAGCACTATTTTCTTTGTCCTCTGCCACATAAAGCCTGGCTTTTGTTCCTGTGGTCTAATGGCTACACGCCAGAAGACAGGCTTTACTTTGAAGTATTTCTGAGATTGTTTGCATGGGCCAGCCCACACTTTGGAAATTGATTTTCTGATATACGAGTGGTATCCTGCAAAGCAAAGAATAAGCTAAAATACCATGTGAGTCAGAAAGCTGACAGTTAGTAGGCATTCTGTTTCTTCTTTGTTTCTGTTGTTATTTGACTGGACACAGATAACCAAAGCTGAAAGCCTAACAGAAAACTGACCTTGTTTCACTGTGTGGATCTTGTTTGCATTAGAGCCCTCTCGTGTATCAGACTTTTGTCCTGCAGGAGACAGACGGTCACTCTTGATGATACAGGAGGGCTTTGGCCTTCCACTTAGGAAGGTTATTGTTGAATGATACTGTAGCTGAATTTAGGTGAGGAGGTGTAATATGACACATGGGGCAGGACTCCCTTTCCATCTGGCCCATTAGCTGCCCTGTCCCCCCACAGATGGCAGGCTAGCAGGTGCATCACTTTACCTCAGCCTGTCAGCAGCCTTTGGTTCACAGCTTTGTGTATGCAGACAAAAGGGAATGTGGGAGGCCAGCCTGGTATAGCCTACGCTGTGAGTAATGAGCTGGAACCAATAGCTGTTGTAGTAGAGGGCCTGTGGTTTCACTTGGTCCTCTGAATAAGTTGGCACTTTTCTTTGATTGAAGGTTTTTTCTCTCTTTCTCTTTACTGTTGTTGTTGTTTTTTTTTGTTGTGCTGTGCCCGTTATTATGCAGGTGATGACATTCAAAACATAGAGCTGTAATGTTTGTATATCTTATGCATGACAAGTAGGTTGAAGTGAATCCTCATCATCAGTGTATTGATTGATCGCCATCTGTGGTGATGGAAAAGTGCACGCTACACATCCAAGTGTTTTTGTACTGCGACTGACAGTTGTCCAACATCAGTGAGAGTACGAAAAGTGAAATAATCCCATCTTCTCTTCGTAATACTAATCTGAATCTACTGTGTGCTGCACTTTTCTGCACCGATACCCAAGACCAGTTGATCTCTCCTTAAAATCTGCAGCTATAGTGTTTAAACCAAAATGATTGTGTGCTCTGCTCTTTCAGTTTCTTTCCTTAAGAGATAAAACACAAATTACAGTTTTGTTTTGATTGTTTATGGTTTAAACACGAGAATGGGACTCATCAAGGTTTGAGAGAATCAGCAGTGTTCTTTAAAAGGCATTAATTGCTCTTGAAGTGTTATAGACCTTTATATATAAATACTTTTTAAAAAGTGTTATCCTTTTTATTTGCATAAAAGCAGCCCCACAATGTTTTTGTTGCCTGTCACTGTTGGAAAACCTGGGTTTGTTTTCCACAAACGGGTCCATTATAATGCATCATTTGACTTCATTTTTGAACAGAAGTTTTTCTTATTTTTGTTCTCTGATATACCTTTGCTTGTTGTCCTTGATTTTCAGTTTGTGACTCATTTCTTTAATGACTGTAGAGATAAAATAGTTTATTTGCTGTAGTGAAACTGCAATGAATGTGAATAGCAATTCAGAAAGAAATAATTGCAATTACAATGCAACTTCAACATAACAGCCTTTGGTCTTTCTTGTTTGTTTTGTTGTTTCCTAGAATCAAAAGGTATTAATTTAAAGTGTTAGCTAATATTTATAGCTGTTTGGGGATTTGTGTTTCCACAGAAGCCACTGGCCCTCAGCAGCAGCCATTAATGCAGAAAGGGCACTCTATTGTCTGGCAGAGGTAGAAAATGGCTTTCAACAGCCTTTAACCCCATGGAAATTCATCCAGACTGCTTCCACTGAAGCTCTCTCTCTTCCCATTTCTGTCTTCCTCTTGCCTTTATTTGTTATATCTGCTCCTCTATCTCCCCTATTTCTTAAACTCACACACATGCTTCACATCTCATACTGTGTTCCTGTAGGAACCGTGCCAGTTCTCTCCAAATGTGTCTCATTCATTCACAGCCAAGGTCTTGCCATCAAAAGAACTCCAGTCTTCGATGAAAACGAGGCACCTCTGTAATGGCCTTTATTAAAACAGGCCTGGAGAGAGACACTTTAACAGAAATTAAAAAGCTGATGTTGAATCTATGAATAAACATGTAAGACACTGCAGAAATTTCAACTGCAATTTACTGCATATTGGAAAAAAGGTTTCCATCCAGTACCTCTCAAGTAGTCTGAATGCAATGCAATGCAATATAACATAAGGAAAAAGTTCCTTTTTGGTGCAGCAGTCTTTAGTTTCTGTTAAATACCTAGATTGACTATTCAGACTTTCACTCCAAACCACTTCCACCTTATTGTGCCTTTGCTGAGAAGTGAAGAGGCAGAAGGAGTCAGTGACGTCAGTTTAGTGCCTGTTGGGGCTTAATTGGTCTGAACCTGGCAACCTGACACTGCCAGTCTCTTGGTGGCTCTATAGAAATGGAGTCTGTGGGAGCCAGTATAGTGACATCAGTAAAGAGAGGGGTTGTAATCTCTTTTTGTCAGTTTGGCAGGTCATCACCAGACCACACTCACTCTCTCAAGCAGCAGCAAACAGATGCTGTTAGTCCCCTTTAGTCTGAGAGGAACCATCACACAATGCAGCTGCAAAGTATTACGGTAGGTCATTTTTTGTGTGGTTTCTACACAATGCATCCAAATTGAATTATCACAGGATCAAGTAAAATCTATTCAAATCATACTCGATAAACATTGTTGGCCTTTTTAAATATAATCACCTAATGTTAAGACAACACAGCAGGAGTGATTCTAAACATACAGACAAGGCTAGTGAATTCTTTAAGGGTCAAACACTTGACATGATAAGTTGATCACCTGGCCTCAATCAAACTAAGCATATGTCCTTTGCTAAGGACCAAGCTGATTGCAACACTGTAAACTAAAAAGGATTCAGCATCTACACAACTCATCTTATATGGATGGTATCCTTGGAGCCAGCAACTTAACCTGGCTGTGTTTATATGGTGCTTTATGTTTAATTTTTGTTTAGAATTTTATGCGCAGACATACTTGATTTAGTCTACTTGGTTGACATGGCATGTGGTCTGTTACAGCAAAAATATTCTAGTTAGGAGGAAGACCTGGGGATGAAAGTCAAATTCTGTTATAGAGAGAAGTGCATTTGTGACTTGGAGAGAAAGGACAATCTCACTGGGTGAGTGATCTGACTAATGAGTAAAAAACCCCTCCAAACACAAAAAGTCTAAATTTGCTCCTGGAGCAGGGTTTCTGCACAAATATGGGGGAGGGTCTGCCCTCTTGTGTACATTTGATGACTTAGCAGTGCCAGGAAAACTAAAAGCAGGTTGAAAAATGAACAAACACAATTTTACCAAATAAAAAAAAAAAAATCAATCAAAGCAGAAATTTAAGACAAAAAATCTGATTTATAGAGGTTCAATGTCCTCAAAATGTAACCCTAGCTAAGTTTGATTGAGGTTATTCTAAGTGGCAATGGTATGTGTGACACCTAAGGTCAGCAGCCAATGAAAGTGCAGCTGCATAGCAACATTTCAAACAGACCTTACAGAATAAACTTCTTTTTGTTTGCCTGGCTGGCCAGGTTGTCCAACAGACTCTTGTCATCCTTATCTGGAAGACATGACATGACAAAAATTTGTTAAAGAAGGCAACATTAACTTTTTGTATTAATCCATGATTCCCTCCTTTCCTCTCCCTCAAAGCCTACCAAATACCATCAGGTTACAGGAGCATTTTGCCATCCCCAGTAGGTTCTCCAAAACCAGGGTATATTTTCCACTATCTTGGGCTCCACAGGTAGGGATGACCAGCGTGCACACTCCGTTGGCTGTGCTGTGCCAGAACCGAGGGGAGTCGGAGATCTTTGATTCCCCTTTATACCAACAGGCCTACACAGGGGAATTGCCAAAACTATTCTTACTTAAGAGGACTTGGGGATGATAGATGTTTTAATCATTAATGCACATGTGTATGTTATGAGCAGATGCACAGCACTGTGATCTCAGCAGCCATTTCTTTTATACCTGCGGAGTTGGCATTCCCTGATAGGCGCAGCTCATGGTGCAGTCATATCCTCTGCAGACAGCGTGGTCCTTCAGTGGCAGCAGGAAAGTAGGCTTCACCTGGCGCGGTGGTGAGACGTATTGCTTCAGCTTAAGGCTGCTGATGCACTCTTAGAAACAGATGTGCACATACAGACAAAAAGGTAATTAACTAAACACGCATTTGACATTATCAATGGCATGATGCAGAACTCAGATGTCTCACCTTTGTCCTTGGCAATGATGAGAGGTTCCTTTGAGTCCAAGGGATCACTGTCCCCAGTAGAGTTTTGTGCAATGACCCTGAAGTAGTATTTCCTCCCAGGAAGCAGCCCAGTGACAGTATACTTGCTGCTGAAGACACGCTCAGCCACAGTGAACCAGGATGTCGTACTGGTGTCTCGTTTGAGGATGATGTAATGTGCTCCCTCATCATCATCAGCCAGATCTGGGGTGTGATCCCACTGCAGGGTCACGGTCCCTGGGACCTCCTCTTCCAGGCGGAGGTTCTTTGGGGGTCGAGGAAAGTCTGGTGAAAGGAGGACAATGGTGAAAAAAATGTACACATTAGAATAGCTTCATATTTGTCCTTATAGAATATGGAAATGTCCACAAAGCCACCAAAGCATCTTTAAAATTTAACATATACATGCCACTTACCTGTAACCCTGACATTCACATCATAATCAGCCTGTCCATAATCATTTTTCAGGTTAACATGGTAGACACCAGAGTCAGATCGCTGAGAGGAGGAAATGAAGAGCTGGGAGTGACTCTTGCTCTGGGTGATGACCTCTCTGCCTGTAGTGAGGACCCCATCCTTGAACCAGGTCACCACTGGGGGAGGTGAGGCCTGCAGGTGAAAAGAAGGGAAAGGTAACATTTTGTTTTGCTAGGAAATACAGAGTGCATGCTACTCTTGTGGCTCAATGGAAAATCACTAAATTCTGAGTAGATCGTCATTGTCTTACAGTGAAGCTGAAGACAAGGCAAAGTGTTGTTCCAGCTCGGATCACCATCTGGTTCTTCAACTTTCCCTGGAGATCAAACCTGGGTGCCACTGCACAGGAAGGCACAAAATGACAAAGCAAAAATAAAAGTAACAAACAGGGACAAAAGCCCATGAGTAAAAGTAACAAACAGGGTGAAACCACAAGAAAATGTAGTTATAATACCAGGTGGAGGCATGGCCAGTACACCCTCTGACAGCTCAATGGGCCCCCCAACCCCTCCTTCATTGACAGCCCGGATACGGAAGTGATATTTCATCCGCTCCTGAAGTCCTCCAACAGTGAAGGCAGTACCAGTGACAGGGAGCTTAGTGGCTTTCATCCACTCTTTAGCATCTTCGGGGCGAACCTCTATGATGTAGCCTGATGGTTCATCTCCTTGCTCTGGAGGTGTCCAGCTCAGAGAAATGGATGAGCTTGCGGAGTCAGACACCCACAGTTTGCTCACCAGGCTAGGGGCTCCTACAAGGACAAAAACAGACTTTACATTACATTACATTGTTTTACATGACGTTAATTACACAGTTCAGATAATACTAATCCAGAGAGATAAGGAGACAAAGAAAATTAAAGAGTCAACGAAGGACTCACGTATTGGGTCTTTGGCCAGCACAGCATTCGAAATGGTGCTAGGACTGCCTGCTCCAGCCCTGTTTTCACTGGTAACTCGGAACTCATACTCCACATCATCCACCAGCCCATCCACCATGAATTTTGTATCTTAAATTAGTAATATATACACCAGTGTCATACAAGAAATGCAACCAAAACAGAAGATGTATGTACTGTCAAAAAAAAAAAAAAGAGTTTAATGTTTACAGTCACGTATTGTGTTGATGCATGACAAAACACTATATCCTTACTCAGGCGTGCTGCTAACAAAATGTGTACACACAGCCTATAACAGTAAGAATCGGCTGACTAGAAAATGAAAGAGTACACTACCAGTCAAGGTTGGATGAACTTTCCCATTCAATTCAATGGGAAGTTATCAACTGTTGGTGTATATCAAATATATAGTAACTGGATAGGACAACAAAACATGATGTCTTGAGATACAGCCCAGAGTCTGACCTGTCAGCAGCTCTTTATTGACCTGCACCCACATGTTGCTGCCCTTTTTCCTCCTTTCCAGAATGTAGCCCAGAACTGGGGCTCCTCCGTCATAGGATGGAGGTGCCCAGCTCACGGTCATGGTGTTCTTAGTAATATTAGACACTTGAGGCTGGGAGGCTGTTCCTGGAGGCTCTGGGGAAGTGATTTTAAACAGGATGGGATTTGATTAAATTTGTATTTTGAGCATGTAACAAATAATAAAAATGAGAAGAAGAGGAAAAAAGACAACCATTAAGATGAAAAGCAGTAATGCCTTTTTCTCACCCCTCAGACCATTTTTAACATATCTTTTTAAGATGATTTATATTTCTTCCCCTCTGGACGGGGCTACAGAACACTGTATGCCAAAATAACCAGACCAGTATCTTCCCATGCACCATCACTCTGAGCAGTTAACTATGGCTGAAGCAACAGGACTCGGCAAAAACTGTAAATGGTACCGCTACACGCACCAGTCTGATAGCTCTAAATGTGTGTGCATGTATATAATGTTCGTGAATGCTGCTTCTCCTCCCTCTCCTGCCCTTCCCCTACATTTGATTGCACTATCTTGTTGTCTGTTGCCTAAAACACACCCAGCCTGTGCCTGAGATGAATTCCTTGTATGCTCAACATACTTGACAATTAAAGCTGATTCCGATTCAAGCCATTCCACAATTTCACCCAACAGATGGTCTCTTCAACGTGGTGTGCACAGTGCTTTTTTAAATTAAAACTTCCTCTAAGGTTGTAACCCCCCTTGTGATCTGTGAATATTTGTGAGATGCAAAAGATGAAGAGCATGGAATGTATCTGGCAAAGAAGGTGAGTTTGACAGTGAAATAATAAGCTTAATGATTGTGATGATAATTACAAGGAACTGAATAATGATGAGAATAATGATTGTGATTGCAAATCTCGCCTCTGGATCCCTAAGACACTTAGATTTCATGAACGGTGATTGTGATGGTGATTATTTATAGAGTAAATTTGCTCACCTATGGGCTCTCCAGAGCAAACCTCCTCTGTCTCAAGAGGATCACTAATTCCCTCTGCATTGACAGCTCTGATGCGATACTGATATGTCTGGCCCTCTTCCACTTTGTCATCACTGAAGACGGTGGTGCTGCTGTCCACCTCGCCAACCCTGGTCCAGGATTTCTTATCTGCTTTGCGCCGTTCAATCACAAAACTGGTTACCTGGTTACCCCCGTTATCACGGGGAGCCTTCCACTTCATCGTGATACACTTTCCTGATAGCTCAAGGAACTCTACTTTCCCTTGAGGAGGCCTTGGGTGGTCTAGAGAAGGTGGTAAAAGATGAGTTAGGCATTTCAAATCTGCTTTGGCTTTTATTGCCAAATACTTTGTGTTGTCACTCACCAATCACGTTAAGGTGCAGGTTGGCAACAGCAGTGCCACAGTCGCTCTTCAGACGGAGCATAATTGCACCACTGTCTTCTCGCACACATCTAGAAAACAGTCAAAGGGAGAGGATATATTTAGAAATGTCTATCTGTGTTTTAAATGGTCTAAATTTAATCTGCTTCCTCACCTGCTGAGCACCAGTGAGGTGCCATCGGCTGTCCTCTCCACCTTGGTCCTCTCATCCTCTATGACTTCTACCCCATCCTTGTACCAGGTGACCTTGGGAAGCGGTTTCCCTTTGAAGGGAATCTTTATGGTAGCTGTCTGGCCTGCCTTCACAGTAACAGGCTCGGCCCCCAACAAGTCCAGAACAGAGGAATCAATCTCTGGAGGGTCTAGGAAACAGAGTTTTCAATCGGTTTTAAAATATCTTTATTTACATTTTTTTAGTAAGGTTTTAAATTGTTTTGGGTACTGCAGTTGAACAGCCACAGTGTAGGTTCTGTAAATGTCTCATTTTGTCAGCTTCTAGTGGTAGTATCAAAAAGACACTGTGGAAACAGGATGACACGCTGCCATCCAACATAACACACCAGCCTGGATTTAAACATCCACATGATGTTTGATGCTGTGAGCATCTGTCCTTCCTGTGAATACATATCCAAATATCAAATACAAACACATACACTGACCTGCAACAGTGAGCACAGCCTCGCTCTCAGCTCCCTTTGCTTTGAAGGTGTACTTGCCCTCATGGGCTTCAGTCAGGCCAGAAAAGACCAGCTTGTGGACAGCTCCCTGTTTGACCACCTGAACCCCACTCAGCTCTGAAATCTGTAACACCAAAGACAAAACAGAAACTAAATGCTAGAGTTGATTATAAAAGGTGGTCATGAAGTAAATGAAGAGATTTATTGTGATTAAATATTTAGGTTGCTTATTATTTGAAAAACACACTTTCTTCCATTGAGGTATAAGAACCAAAGATTATCTATAGCAACTGACAGAAGAAGGATGCGGCTGAGGACTTCAACACTTTCATCCTGTCTTATCTCTTACCTCCACTCCATCCCTCAGCCACACTCCATCCACCTTCTCATCATCAAGAACAACACACAGCTCTGTAGAAGAGCCTGTGGGACACTGAGCATCTGACAAACCACTCTTCACTGAAGCAAAACGCTCTGGTAACAGACAAAGACAACAAGCCTAATTAGGGTCTTATTTAATAGTCAGTAACAATCTAATGTTAGACCCTAAACAATCTGGCTGACACATAACGTTACCATCCACGGTCAGATTGGCAGAAGTGACATATTTGTGTGGGTCATTGTCCTGAGTGCAGACAACTGAGTACTCTCCCTCATCTGTCAGCTCACAGTCCTCAATGATAACCTCTGCCCTCCTTCCCTCATGCATGAAGATGTAGCGACGGCTTGCTGTAATATCACACCCATCCTTCAGCCACTGAATGTGCACATCCTTGGAGCTCATCTCACATTCCAGATGGGCCTTGCCTCTCTCCTGTACATGGGTGTTCTTCAAGTGGCTGGTAAACGTGATGGGAATCCCTGGATATAGAATTTTAAAAAACAAGAATAACAGGAGGAGAATCACTTCTTGGTTTGTTTGGCCTTCATCAGCATGCTCCACTCCAAAGTGTGTGCTAATGTCTGTACTATAAACACATGCAAAATTAATTAAATATAGAATTTAAAATAAAAAAAAAACTAATTACAGGGTGGAACCAGATTTTAATTGTGTGTTACTGTATATTTAATCCCTTCAAACAAAGTCGGCCTTCATAATAGAATTATAGTTCAAGAACAAAAAAGATAATCTACTCATACCTGGCTGTTAATTTACATAGCCTCAACTGCTATACTGCTGTTCCTACAACCCCAGAGGACAGCCACACGTCCTCGTGAAGATATTTACATGCCCCAGCTTGCACCTTAGGCAAGTAAGCATCTTGTTAGACAGAGCCGTAATAAATGAGCTTGTTGTAAGGAGGGATTTGTTTGGATTACTTTTAACTCAGCACTAGGGGGAAGGATTTATTATGCTATGTCTTCATATGGAACAGAGAAGTTGATGTTGTTTAGCCTAGCTATGAAGGAGTGAAAACTCTAATCTCAGGGGAAGAAAACTGCTCCTCTCCACTGAATCTGAAGGGAGTTTGTTTCTTTAGAAATGTACAATCTACTAAAGTAGAAAGACAGTCTTTTTAGGAAAAACAAAACAAAACATTTAAAAAAAAACAGCATACATAAAAAAATTTTATGACAGAAAAGCCCATGAAATGCTTGTCCATACGTTCAATGAAAAGTGGCACAGTGGCCGTGAGGTCTCCGATGCTGATGGTGTAGTCTCCAGTGTCACTGACTTTCACATCCTTAATCTTCAAGGTGTAGGTCAGGCCATCCTCAGACAAGGACACGTCGAACTTTTCATCTCTTTTTACTTCCTTTCCCTTCACCTGCAAGGACACCAACACTTCTGGGAAAACATCCCATAATCCTTTTGAATCATGTGGTTCTCCCTTGTGTCCATATCAACTTAATACTGACAGTACGTGTGTTTTTTTCATCTTTGAATTATTTTGAGTAAATGCTAAAAAATTCTAGAAAGTTACCTAGACATCCCATTTTTAACATCTTCTCCTTGATGGTAAAAGTGTAATTAAGCTGTTCTGTGTGTATTTGTGAGTCACATACAAACCTTCCAGATGAGTGGTGCATCTGTCTTCTTGGAGAGACGGATCTCAAACATGGCAGTCTGGCGCTCTGTCACTTTCTTCGGCTTGAAGTCAGACAGGAATTTCAGAGGTTCATCTGAAAGTGAGACAGAACACAGTAAGGCTTTGTCTTGATCTAAAGTGTATAGACTAGGTGATGTAAACACCTCAGTAAAAAGTATTCTATGTCATATAACAGTATTTGTAAGCTACAAAAGCTGTCTGGCAATCAAACTTTGATATGTGATTGTTAAAAGAAATGAGTGACATACAGAAAGGGAAACTGACACTGAATGGAAGGAATAAAAGTGTAAATGCAAAACAAAGTCATGCACACTGGCAGGTCCTTATGTTCACATAAAAACTGTTCTCATCTGTTAAGTCTAACAAGTCCAAATAACAGCACTTGACAGAACACCACATGGCACAGGTGCTGAGGTGTGCAAATGACAAGGAGAATAGAGTGTATTTAAACAGGGAAAGCGACACTAAGAGCAGGTAAATGTGATGACATCGTCTCTCGAGCAGTGGGGAGGACTTCGCTCCTGTTCTGCACTTGCCTATGACGCTAAGCCTGGCTGACAGTCTCTTGTCTCCGACCTGCAGGGTGTAGGTGCCCATGTCACTGAGGCTCACGCTAGAAATGCACAGCATGTGCTTGGTTCCCATCTGTTTCGCTTCGTATTTCCCATGAGAGTATTGGAGGCGCAGCAGTTCGGCACCCTGAATTGTAGACAATGAGTGGAGAACTCACAAGTGGTATATGTAAAGGGAGCAGCCATATTTGACATCAGACAGGTGGATAGAGTTTACCAGAAACCACTGCATTCTGATGTTTGGGTCCTTCAGTTCCAGGATGGTGTCAAAGATGACGTTGGTGCCAGCTTTGGCGGTGATATCCTCCAGTGGCTTCAGCACACGCACCATCTGGTAAAATACCAAATGATCAAACACTTATTTTCATATAAGTAAACCACAATAATGACACTATAACATATGTTCCCATTTTTCTTACTATGTGACTGTGTTGCCATAGTTGTGCTGTGGGACAATAAGCTTTTTTATTTACAGGTCTTCTCTCTAAGTTGTTTTTCCTATTATATCCCAAACATTTTCTTTCTTATGTGGAGCTGTGCATGTGAATAAGCTCCCTGTATGACAGACACACCTCCACCTCCTCTTTCTTCTTCATCTCCTTCAGCTTCTTGAGGATGCCTCTAAAGTCAGTGAAGCCGTACTCGGCGCAGATCCTCTCGTAGTCCTTCTTGTCAGCTCCAGACAGGATCTTTAACATTTCTTCCTCTGTAGGCGGCTTCTTCTCTTCTTTCTTCTCTACACTGCTGCACATGGAGAAAGATCTCAGAAAGGAGGTTTGCATTAATATAGGTCAATGCCAGGCTTGTGTGCATGTATGTCTGATAGAATGTCTGACAGTGTTAGTATGCCAGTATATGTGTGATGACAGCTCATAAAGCATCTTCCTTTGCCCCTGCAGCAACACTGATGCACAGTGGAGCTCTTTAGATCCTGTCCTGTAGATATTTCTGGATGTATGCAAAAGAAAAAAAAAAGAAAAAGCTTCTGAAGGTGGATCAGGGAGAGCTCCATCACACCCTGACAGGTAAGGGGAGTGTGATGATTTGTACTAAACAACAGGCTTGTGTTCCAACCGTTTCTTCAGCATCTTTTTGAAGTCCAACGCTGGGTCTAGAAATAATAAAAGAGAAAGTCAGGCACTGTGTGAAAACAACACATAAACTAAGTGGAAGACTTCTAAATAACTATCAGGACTAGGAAACATTGCACAACGTATTATATGAAATGGCAAGACTCACTCTCTGTAACGATGAGGGATATTGAGTAAGTGGCTTCTCCATGCTTGTTGGAAGCAATGCACTTGTAGACATCGGCATCCTCCAGGGCCAGCTTTTTAATCTGAAGTGCGGAAAATGCAGTACAAGTTACATTCAATGGAATCAGATGGTTTACTTGATGCTTACTATTTAAAAATATCATTACATGGCCCAGGCACTTCCCACTGCAAATCCTACTGCAATACTGAATTTAAGCAAAAGGAGGCAGTGCCACACCAGAATTATACAGTAAACATTTATGGCTCCAACTTAACAGTCATCCCTCACAAGAGAAACAGATGGCAAGGGAAGATGCATATGTCAGCACCCACAAGTTAATTGCTTTATAATAGCTGTTTAAGCTTCACTTAAGCTCTCCGGCTGGTACAGAGAAAGTGCTAAATCCACTCCAGAGTAGTTATAGATAAAAGGATCACCGAGAGTTCTACTTTTCCTCATGATGCATGGTGTGCTGTTTAAGTTGACAGCACCGAGATGGCAGAGCCCTCTGGCTTAACGTTAGGCTTTGCAGAGCCGCTGCACTGTTAGAGTTTGTTATGGCTACGTTCACCTTTTAAAGCATGTGTACCTCCACATGAATAGATATTGGTGCTCCAATCGCACTATAATTTTAGGAAAAAAGTGACATCTATATATAGATGTGGTGGACATCTTGTAAACGTAAAGCACTGCTAACTGCCATCAATGAAGCAACCACAGAACTCAGACATGTAAAAGTACATGTACTACTTAAAGTGCTGTGTGACTGAAATGATATAAACACAGAGTTGGCTAAATTTCTGGAACATCTGTTTAACGGTTAGTCACCATACAGTATATAAAACAGCACAATGGAGGTGAACAAAGTGGTTCAGCTTCTTGATATGTTACATAAAATTTAAGACACTCAGTATACTTTAGCTCTGAATCAACACAAGCCTCGTTTTAGTGTCAGGACAGCTGTTTTCTTTAGTCGCAGGCTTGTTTTCAGAAGCAAAACCTGTCAGTGAAATTCTTTAATAAGCGAGGCTCACTATGAGCTGTATAGCCGTATTGTCAAACCTTGAGTATATGCTGATTGTTGATGTCGTAGAAAGAGTTAGTCGCATCCGACAGTGGGAACCCACTGGCTCGTTCCCAGCTAACACTGGGCTGGGGATTCCCTGTCACTTTGGCCTTGAACACCGCATTGTCACCTACAAACAACAGATCAGGTAGATAAGGTTAATGTATGTTATCTGAAATATTAGCTGATTGTTAGTTGTTTTTTAAGAAACAATTATGGCTTTTAAGTCATATTGGAGTGATAAGAATCAATGTTTAAGGTATATCAGATTAACTGTCCTCTCACCCTTTCCTGTTTTCCTTTTGAGACCAGTGAGTTTAAGGTCAGCCCTTGAATGCTAATGATATCGCTACTCTGCAGTGTTCTGCAAGGTCTGACAGGCTATCTTTTATAAGACTCTTATTCTATAATTCACAGTACAGCCAGGGTGAACAAGGCTCATACACCTACTGTTTATGCAGAACAGGTACTTGTGCTCAACAGAAGTAGCAAAGGTTTTTTTTTTTCATGGAGGTCACAAATATCACACAGATTCCATCACAGTATTTGTCCTCTGTAAGGACCTACACACATCCTCCATGTGGCTTTACAGCACCTCCACCCAAAGAGACAAATACTTATATATAACCTTATATACAGTATTACTGCAAACTTCTGCTTCCCTAATTTAGCTGGTGCCATCTGAAGTTTCTGGGCAAATCACGGGCAAGGATCTAAAATTAGCTTGCACGTATTTATAGTCCCAAGGGCCCACGGTTGTTTATAGTACCATGTGATTTTAGGGCAAGCAAAAGACACTGCTTGAATTTTCAGGTGCTGTGAGACGAAAGGAGCAGTTCACCTCACCCTCTTGGGCAGTGATAGGGCGCAGTTTCTCCTCGAAATCTGGGACAGACTCTCCCTCTGGAATCTGGGGGGATTTCTGTACCTGGCTGAAAGACTCCACAACAGCTGATGTCTTACGCTGGACACGAGGGTTCTCTGAGGGAGTATGAAGCACATTCACATCATAAAGTGCAAACAGGCAAAGCATGCTGAAGTAAGCTCACATGCAAATGTGATGTTATCATCATGATTTTCATTTTTGTTCCACTGTTAATTAGCCTTATTCCTGGTCTGTGTTTGCCCAGAAGCTTAATAAAATGCCAGCCTGACATCATTTAGTCCCCAGTATGCTCTGAGGTTTAAACATGGAAAGACAGTGTTTTGCCCAGCGGGACAGGTAAGAAGTCACAGTTAATGCTACAATTTTAATTCAATTAATCAATTCAGTTAATTTTGCTCATTGTAAAGATAACTCTAAAAGAGAACTTGGTGATTTTGATGGATGATTCAAACCTTCCATGGTCCTTAACAAGCCCTGAGAGACTTTTCTCAGCTTGGTGGTACTTATGGAGGAGCCAAAGGTGGAGGAGGCGGAGGAGGAGGATGTCTCCATTCTGCCCCCAGTGGCCTGGAGAAGCTCTGCTGCCATGATGATGATTATGTTCAGGTGGTGTTGGTGTGTGCCTGGCGGATAGACTGAGATGTGATATGGTAGTTTTAAAATCTTCTTTTTCTGAACAGGTTTGCATGTGTACTTGCTTGTGTGCGAGTGAATGTTTCCATACATGTACATGTGGGGAACACACGTCTTTGCTCTCTTTAAGTGATAACTAGGTTTGTGTTTCCAGAAGCATGCACTAAAAATGACTTTTCCTGTTCTCTGCTCCTTTCCTGCCCTTTCCTTACTCTACCCTGCTCCCTTCAAGAGCAACTACAATAGTCCTTTGCCTTTGCCATGCTCACACAAAGATCCAGTTAAAAAGGCAATCCACACACCTGCTGATGAAGCATTGTGTTTGTACAGCTAACAAACTGTGATCTTCCTCTCTTACTTTGAATTTGGATTCCTCTCTCATGCCAAGTTGGTGTGTATGTACAGTATGTCTTTGGCTGTGCATATATGCGTTGCCAGTATCCAAAGGAAGATTAGATGCATTACTACTGTTCAATGTCAAGTTCAAACAAGTGTCAAGCTCAGTCTAATTACACAATTTTCACTCCCTGTACGTACTTATGAAATATTTTTTTAACTCACATAAGGCTCGGTGTGTATAATCACATCAGTTGCAAAGCAGTAACCAAATACTGAACTGTTCTCTCAGTGACAGCCTAGTTTTTGCATACAAAGGTGACTTTACAAGTCAAAGGAACAATTAACCACAAGAATAATCTCTAAATGAAAAATGTAAATCCAAGAAGTATTTATTTTTCTTCCTGCACCAAATGCCATACATGTTGATGAGTTAATTCATTTTTTAAGCTTTGATATCTACCAAAGGGAATTGGTTTTCATTATGCCACAGCACCCTTTTTGATGGTATAAGCCTACAGTATGAAGGAGTAGCAAGTGATTAGCAGCTACAAAGTGCTAAACAGGTTGTTGTACAACACAAGAACAAGTTCCCTATAGCTCTCTGTCTCTTTGCTGTATCCTTGGTCTATCTCTCTCCCAGCATGCAAATTGCAAAAAGATTTTTGTTTCTTTTACTCCCCCAATGGCCCTATTATTTCAGAAAAAACAAGACATGCAGCCAACCAAACTTACTTGTGACAAAGCCTTTACTTTCTCACAGATTTATTCTATACCCCAGGTTTCTGGAATAACTGCCTCCTGCCCCAGTGTATCCTCTTATGATGTTCTTAATCCACACGCTGGTCCTCTCTCAGCGGGTTCCTGTCAGCTCGAACTCTGCTGCTTTTTTGGTTCCTTTTTGGTGGATGAGCAAAGGCTCGGGCATTCAGCTTGAACACCTGCTATGTCTTGTCTCTGGGCAAATAAGGCTCTGATCTGTTCTGGGTTTGCTGGGCCTCAATACATCATGTTAATATTTCCCACAGGTCAGTTAGTTTGAGGGTCCGCTGTGGGCTGTCTCAGACTATAACATTCTTCAAAGAGCATGTGGTGATGGAGTGTTTCCAGCAGGCTTTGCCTCTGAGACACATCTTCCTTTCTAATATATACTCACATTCTACATTATATACAATATACACTGTATTTTATAGTTTTAAACAAGACACTTCACACACCAAAGTACAGAACCTGTTGAACATTTGGGCCGGCTCCTCTATTATAATCTCACACAATGTCAGAATTGAAATTTAGGACATATTCCTTGTTTAATGGGCTTTAAACAAGCTCATCATTGGAGCTGGGTAATGCTCGAATGCTTTATGTCAAGTCTGGGCTACTTGTCATGGATATGCTCTTTGAGGTGGCAGCAGGGAGTACTTAAGTCTGAGTGTTGGGTCTGAGGAAAGATAGATACAGAGAAAGGAGAGACAGAGAAGCTTCTTCCCTCTAATCCTCTTTGCACTACACCTGGCTGGCATACTAACGATGGAGAAATGACCTAGATTTGTCTCTTAGCACATTCTCAACAGCACAGAACATAATGAATGAGTTGGGTGAATTTTACTTTGTGTGACTGCTGTTTTTTTTTCTGTCAGCATCGAATCAGAGAAAGAGGACAAGCATGGGTCTTAATGAAATAGATTCCAACATCACCGTGTCACTTCTTAGCTGTTTGAGCTTCTTCAGTCTTTTTGATGAATACAATCTGCAGCTGTCAACAAAAATCATATGTGTGCCGTATCTTGATACTTCCCTGTGACCATATCCTGTGAACAAACTTTATAAAAAAAAATGAAGAAGACATTTTACATGGCTACAGCTACAGTAACAGTGGCAAAGATATTTTATCCTCCACCTGTTCAGATGGTAATATAGCTTACTGTGTAATTCACTACAGCAAAGCACAACACCAAATCTAAAACCAGCTATTTGTAGAACAGCCAATTCCAGTAGCTGCAGATCTGCAGGGCAAACATTAATGTGGAGTAGTGAGTGTGTATGGGGTTGTTACTCTAGCTGTGTAGATGCAGTCAGGGAAAACACTGCAGAATGCTCTTTAATGTAACAGCAGCTGTAGCTATGTGATGTTAAATGTTCTGTCTGAACGGCATCTGTGGAGACATCCAGTTTTCAAATCTGTCTCACTGTATTTGGAAGAAACAGCTGCAGATGAGTGCATGTCTGACTTTGGTGTGTGTGTGTGTGTGTGTGTGTGTGTGTGTGTGAGAGAGAGAGAGAGAGAGAGAGAGAGAGAGGCTGGGCAGGAGCTAAATGCCAAAAAGTATGACTGTATATATATAACTGACTCTATCTATCTATCTATCTATCTGTCCCTCAATTATCATTTCTTCTCCCCATCTCCTGTTCTCCTACTTTCTAATCTGTAAAAATGGAGCTATGTCATTCCTCCAGAAGAAAATTCAATAGGGCACAGCAGAGCAGAAAGAAATGCCACTCCACTCCACCCCTGTTTAGGGAGGAGGAAGCTCAGGCACAGAGGGCAGCCAGATCTGATCCGGCGGGATGCAGGAGGCAAAACCTCTTAATCCCTGTGACATTTTATCTTATCCCTCCCATCAAAGCTGGTGAGCTGCTGTGCTGCCCAGGAAAAAGGAAGGTTGGAGTAGGGTGAGGAGGGTTTGTCAGATAATCAAGGGCAAGAAGGGAGGCAGACAGATATGAGGATGAAAAGACAAGGCTACCTTTGAAAATATCATTCACTTTAGACTGACAAAAGGCATCAAACGTGATTATCCCCAGTTTAATACATGTGCAATCATAACTGAGGTATATGTGTTAAAGAGAAGACAAAAACTGACAAACAGATGTTGGATTAGTCGAAGGACAGAAATTTTTAAAAGCTATCAATTGCTAATTAAAGTCACGATAGCCTCTATAAAGAGGCAACATTCTTTTTCTTACTTACCTGCTTCACATCTTATTTGTTCAAAACACCATCTTACTCTGTGATGGTGGACTCTGCATAGTCTCTGGTGATGCTGTGCCCCTCAGCTCTGCTCAGTGGTATCATAACTTCACTGCCACACTGTCACAACCGTCTGGACATTCACTCCTCCCTGTGGGCATGATCTCTGTAATACTGTTCTACTTCCATCAGCCCCCACCTTGAACCCCCTCTCTGTCCATATCATTCCACCACTTCCCCCTGGATTCATTCAGGCAGTAAGATCCCTGGAGGGTCAGACCAAGGTGCCAAATGTTTCTGAAGGCTTGAAAGAGAGAGGTTATGCAGAGAAGGAAAACAGCACGAGTACAAATTTTAAATAAAAAGAGACATGGCCCTGAATGTGAAAGTGTTTCAGATAATATAAATCTTTTCTCTAAGTAACTTTACACCTTGGCTAAGGTGCTGCTCACCAACAAATGGAGCCATATGGGGCAGGTGAAACTTTCTGTCTTCCTTTAATGTGAGTTAAAAGTGTACAAGTCCTTTGCTGTGCACAAATCCTTGCCTGCCCTTGGGTGAGACAGAAACAACAGAGGAGGAGGAGAAAGAGAATGTCAGGTCCATCGACTGAGTAGGAAAGAAACTTTTTTTGTCTTCAGTCTGACAAAAACAACTAAGATGGTCAAACATAAAGAGGAATAAAGCTGAGACCTCAGAAAGCCCATGATAATGTCCTTCAGTCAAGAAAAAAGAAAAAACCCCATAGGACTGTTTGATTACACACTTTGGATGACTTTCAAACCCAACGTGATGAAATACCTTCAGTTCTCCCTGCAATAGTCCAACCAAGGTGAATGCTGTGAAGTTTTTGTTTCTGAGTAAATGGTGTTTGGCTGAGGTCATTTTCTAACTACTCATTTCGATACGGCCCAGATGAATACCTAAGCATTTCATTTACTCCCAGTGTTTGCTCTGAAGATTACATTATTAATCCACAGAGGACAGAGGATTACAGCCTGTGGTCTGACTGATCCAGACGGCACAGTTGGGACAAAATAAATCGAGGTCATATTTTTATAGACTGGGTTTTGTGTCACTCGATTCTTTATCTACAGCCATAATGGCGTCAGTAGCTCCCCACCGCTGCAGCTGGGTGATTGGATGTGTATTAAACTGGAGATAAACGAATGCTTGATGCATACTGTCGACCTCAAGTGAATGATGTGTTAAAAGGAGGCCATGTTCTTTATAGGTTTATGTGAAAGGCCCAAACACCCATGGATTACCCTCCTTCTCAGTTAATCAGCCTGATCAGACATCTTCACGGTGGGGTTATATGACTGATATTCTCCTCAGTCCCTCATTGGGTGGAAACATTTATGCCTTTATTATTCCCAGTGTCCCAGTTCCTAATATATACTGCACAGTACTATATACAAATGTCTCTCGGGGGTTTTTCAACTGGTAAACAACAAATGTAACAATTTTATACTAACAGAAGTTGATTCTTGAATCATTAGAAGTTTTAACTTTAACCCGGTTCTTTTATCTGAAGACCCCAAGAAGTAACACTCAGGAAACAGGAATCAGCTCTAAGTAGATTTATTT